AAAAAAAAAAAGTTCCTTCTTAGCCTGGTGGTGGTGGTGGTGGCGGCGGCGGCGGCGCACGCCTTTCATCCCAGCACTTGGGAAGCAGAGTCAGGCGGATCTCTGTGAGTTCCAGGCCAGCCTGGTCTACAGAGCGAGATCCAGGAAAGGTACAAAGCAACACAGAGAAACCCTGTCTCAGGGGGAGAAAAAAGTTCATTCTTGCTTCTACCTTTTGGCTATTATGAACTGGCTACTGTGAAGACTTGTGAAATTTTGTGTGGCGGGGTATGCTTGGAAGTGGGATCGCTAGGTTAGATGCTAACGCTATGATTTCAACACTAGAGGAACTTAACAAAGAGCCGCAGCATCTCACATTCCCACCAGCAACACAAGAACTCCAGTCCCTTCACATCCTTGCCAAGCCATGTTCCTGCCCGACTTTTAAGTATAAACTCACACCTTACTTCGGGCATTTGTTTTGTTTCTGTGCTGCTGGGGATCTAACCGAAGGCCTGGTGCATGCTGGGCAAGCACTTGATTTGATACTAACCACCCCACCTTCTGTTCTGACTACTGACTGATGATGTCAAACATCTGTATGAGAGTGTCCTGATCATTTGTTTATCTTTAAGAAGACTATCCATTCAAATCCTTTGCCCATTTTTAAATTTCATCTTTTTATTGCTAAGTTGTAGAAGTTCTTTATCTGTAGGACATTACACCTTTATCACAACTATGGTTTACAAATATCTGTGTGGACCATCGTTTTATTTTAATTATGTCCTTTGGGCTGAGGATATGGCTCAGCCATACAGTACTAACCTAGCTTGGGTTTCTGCTGCCATATCTAAGAAGCCATCACCTAACTCTTGATCATGAGACTCCACACCTGTGTTTTTGTCTATATTTGTAGAGCTAGGCTTGCTTTTGGAGATCTCTGAGCCATTGAAAGTTGCCCCTAGAGTATGGTGAGGTATGCAGCTCCTCTCTTTGCATGTGGTATTCAATTGTTCAGGCACTATTTGTTGAGAAGACTATTCTCTTCCTTAATTAAATTGTATTGCATCCTTGGTTAAAAATCAATTGACAATAGATAGATATATGGAATTTGGGGAGCTTTGCCCCCTCCCTGTTTTTTTTTTTTTTTTTTTTTTTTTTTTTTTTTTTTTTTTGAGACAGGGTTTCTCTGTGTAGTCCTGGCACTAACTCTGTAGACTAGGCTGGCCCCAAATGCACAAGAGATTCGCCTGCCTCTGGGATTGAAGGCATGCACCTGCATTGCCCGGCAAGCTTTGCTTTTTAAGAACGCCAGAACTGGCGTAGGGAGATGGCTCAGTTGGTAAAGACACTTGTCACCAAACCTAATGATCCACGTGGTGGAAGGAGAAAACTGACTCACAAGTCCTCTGAGCTTCAGATGCATGCCATGACATATGCACACATACTAAATAAAATTAATTTTAAAAAAGAAAAACAAAAACAAAACCAGGTTTTTACCAAAGACCAAATGAGTCCGATTCCATGGAGGTGGATCTGAGCCAATGGCATTTTACAATACTCATCGGGCACAGGAAGCTAGGGTTGAGAGAGCCAGTCAAGCTCTTATAGACACAGGGGGTTGAGGCTCAGCAAAGAGTTTGTTAGACTCGATGAACCCCTTTGCGCTAAGGAAATCCAAGAGGAGCAGGGACAGGCAGCCTGGGGCTGGAAGGTGCTCCAACTGTCCCGGCCTAGTCACACAAACTTTCCCGGAAGCACCTCACGCTCAGGAACTAGCCAAGCAGCCCAAAGCTACTCAGGTTACAAACCACAGAACTGGGTCCTCCCCAAGGAGATGTGTCCAACCTCTCCAAGTCCACCTGTCTAGGAAGAAACGGGCCTGATGTAAAGTTGGGGGAAGGGAGGACAGAAGATGGAGGAGGCAGGTTTAGCCCTCCCTGCTGAGCTTTTCAGCAGGAAGGAAATGGGTGAGGCCTACCTAGATAGTTACTCTTAAAAGTTGAAACTTCCACTCCCAAAAGAGACTTGTAAAATTAGAGTTCTGCCCACTCCCACTGCATTCTGCTCGGAAGGTCTCAGGCTGGGCCCTTCTAACCTGGAGGACAGGAACTAGCTCCAAGGACAAAAAGCCCATTTGTCTTCAATGCTTACAACTGAGCCCAGGTTTCCTGGTGGGGGTGAGGGACTAAATACCCGATTAAACTTTGATCTTCACAAAGATAGACCAAGATTCTGACCTGGAAACTGTGACTTGCAACCCCAACCTGTACCAGAGACCCAGTGCTACATTAAGGTTTTTGTATGGACCAATCTCCCAGACAAAGAGAGTGAAGGCTGTGGTCTAGGCAGGCACCACAACTGTTCCCACCAGGGCCAGGGCCACCCAGGGAACTTCCCATAGGCCTTAAGTGCCACAGGTCAGGACATGCGGGCATCAGGGACTGGAGCAAGCATTCCATTCTCGCTCTGTGCATCCAGATGCCAGCAGCAGGGTTTTTTTTTTTTTTGGGGGGGGGGGTGTTGAGACAGGGTTTCTCTGTGTAGCTTTGGAGCCTGTCCTGGATCTAGCTCTGTAGACCAGGTTGGCCTCACAGAGATCCGCCTGGCTCTGCCTCCCCAAGTGCTGGGATTAAAGGTGTAAGACGCCACCGCCCAGCAAGCAGCAAGTTTTTGCGGGTGCTCTGAGCACCCAGAGTCTGGGCTCTCCACCTAGAAGGGGACTATGCAGGCAGAGTAACTAACTGCTAACAACTGGACTGCTTTCATCTCTGCAACTAGAATTTCTGTGACCTTTTCCTTTTTTGGGATAGTCTGATTCCAGTTCACAGCATTCTCTAGCAGACGAGGCCCATACAGCCCAGGGCAGAGAAAAGAAAAAGGAAAAAAAAAAAAAAAAAAAAAAAAAAGGAGTCTAGAAATCTGTGGTCTTGACCCCCTCAGGGGACACAGGAACCAAGTACAGATGTCTTGCAAATACTGCTGTCACTGGCTTCCTGTTCTCTGAGCCTGGGGTTAGAAGGTCCATTTCAGAAGCAGAGAGAATGCAAGGTTCCATACCTGCATCCTCAATTTCCCTTCCTGAGTCCAAGGTCAACTGGTGGGAGCCTAGGGTGCTAACCAGCAGGCCTCCCCTTGGGCTAGCACCCAGCAGAGGCTCAGAGAGCACTGGGTGAGCAAAGAAACCCAATCAACCTCAGAAAGGCCTCTGGCCAGAAACCCCAGCCTCCAGTAGAGGTTGCCAAGAGGCAACTGGTGGAGTTAGGAATTATCCCATCTTGCCCCAGCCTTGTGTGAATGGGCGTTGGCTGGTCCCTGGTCTGGAGATGCTGTGAGGTACACAATTTGTGGGTTAAGCACTCTGGGCTTGGAGGTCTCCCCACCTCTGCACACATATTCAGTCTATCTCAGACTCCGAGGATGTAAAACCTCCACTGACAATAGAATGGTGTCTGGGGAGAATTTAAAAAAGAAAAACCAAAATCAGATTCTATAGTCAGTAATTACAGGACTAGGAGGAACCAGCAGGGAGCCACTGAAACCTCTGACTCATAGCTGCTCCATTCAAAATGGTGAAACCGTTGGCGCTGGCCGAATGACAGGGCGAACTCTACCCTGGCCTGTACTGCCCACAGACTTTCCCAGCCTGGTCCTAGAGTATGAGCAGACACTCATCAGGCTGTCTCCAGGAGCACCTGACTTGAGAGAAGGGGACTCTGGTACTCTAGCAGGAGCAAACTTCGAACTGGGCAGGCGCTTAGTCTGCTGTGAGGACAGGGTGATGGGCATGGTGAGGTATAGATCCCATTTTAACATGGGCAGACATGGGGTGAGGGGTTGGCTTTGTACCCTCTCAGCACCCCCCTCAAAGCTCCTGAGTCTCGGTGAGACAACAAGAGGTATTTTTGTGACTGGGTGGAGCATTAAGCTAACCCTAACGTAATTACACAAATGACGCATGGTGTACAGGATATGTTCTCCGTGCTTTGATTGTACCGTTTTAAGGCTCCCAATGCTGGAGGAGCTGCCTAATGGTGGGACTGGAGTCCCACTAACTAGCCAAGACTGACTTTACAGCTTCTGCTGCCTGCTTTGCTCCCCCATTAGGCTCTTCCATTGCTTCTCATCTGATTCCCCGGAAGACTCCAGTCCAAAGGCAGTCCCGGGCCCTCAGGCAGATTTACCTCAGGCCCGCACTGCAGGGTGAGTCATGGTAGAGGGAGGGCAAGTCAGGTGACCAGGTGAGAATCAGAGCTCCTGAGGTAGCCTGGTTACCTTGACATTCCTGTGATTCTGCCAAGGTAAAAAGTAACCCAAGGAGTTTGCCTTATATGGGCACAACGACAGATTTCAACA